GCGAAGTAATTTTCCAGGAAAAAGAAAAAAAAAGGAGCGGGGGCAGAGTTGGGGGCTGATGGGGTGCCTTCTTTCTATTTGGTTGGGCCAAGTCGGTAAAGACTTGTGAACAGTAGCTATCTATATGGGCTCTAAAATAGTGTTTGGGCTATGGCCTTGGGCCTTTCTTTTTTTCCGTGGTGTTTTTTTCTAAATCACAGTTGTGTAGTGCAAGTTGAACGCGGGATGTACCTTTTTTTTCAACCCATCTCCGTCGTTTTCCGCGCGCACGCTTTTCAAACTGTTAAACGGTGTGTTTTTTTGCAAAAAGTTTCTATACGAAAGTTGCTTAAAAATTAAATTAATCTATTTTTGAAAAAAAATTAGCAAATACTTAATTAATCATGCGCTAATGGACCGCTCCATTTTCCGTTACGACTGTTCCGGATGGGAACTAGTTCTAGCAAACACAGCCGTAGTATTTTTGCTCACACGGGCTGTGTTCGCTAGTTCTAATTGGGAACCCATATCCCACGCACGGAAAACGGAGCGGTCCATTAGCGCGTGATTAATTAAGCAAATATTATTTTCAAAAATAGATTAATTTAATTTTTTTTAAAGCAATTTTCATATAGAAATTTTTTTGCAAAAAAACGTACCGTTTAGCAGTTTGAAAAGCGTGAGCGCGAAAAATGGGAAAGGGAGTTGGGAACCTGGGGAAAGAACACAGCCACAGTCATGCCCATCTCTATATGTATCTCTTCTCTCTCTTCTCTATCTCTACTATTATATATCTATCTCTACTATATCTCTTCTCTACTATTATAAAAATTGAAGATGTTTCCATTAAAATTTTGGTATGTCGTCCGTGTTTGAATCGGTTTAATTTTATATTTTTGTTAAATCCTTTCCTTTTTCTTACACCAGTGTATCCCTCTTATCCAAGACGCACGTGAATTAATTTGGTATGCGCCTTTTCACGCGCCACCTGCCGCACGCAGCGATCGAGCTCATGCCAGAGTCCGTTTTCCACACGCGCCTTTGTGCGCCGCCTCGATTGGGCCTACAACGTCCTCTCGTGCGTGATTTTCTGCATGCCCGATTGGGCCCCCGATGCCCTCGCGCGCACGATTTGCCCTTGCCGCATGCCCGATTGAGATTGCGTCGCCCTCGCCCGTGATTTAAAAATTTAAGATGTTTTTGTCAAAACTATGGTGCGTCGTCCGTGCCGATTCCCGTCACACGTAACATTCATTGAGTCACGAGCGAACTACGATAGAGAGTCCGCGTAATGTGGATACCAAGCTAATGAAACTCATAGAGTCCGTGTGGATATCACGTATGTGGTTGCCCAAATCATCTGATTATATTCGTATTACAAGGCACAATTCTTGAGACATGTTAGCATAATTTCAAGTTAGTCTTCACACATGCTCGTACATACTACCAGGGATACCGTTACAATAATCTATAAGATTCACTTTTACTTTTAATTCGGATAGGCACATGAATAAACAAAACAATGGGCTGTTATTATTTATCTACCGACACATATGTAAAAATTAAATTGGCTCTACCCGTTGCAACGCACGGACATCTTTTATAGTATACTGTAAAACCCCATGTTACTACGAGCATATTAGAACACCCGCAAATATGCATATTAGTATGAATGGTCGGGGCATATTTTGTGGATCTCAAAACAAATTGTTGTGCTCTGTTTCATTATTTATAATACATGATAACTTACAACATAGTGCAATTTATTCTTTGATAAAATCTATGTATGATGTTGAATGAAATGTAGCGAATTAAAACATACCTGATTGCTTCGAACGATCCTACGAATTAAAACATATACACGCCATTAGGAGTTGTATTTAAGTCTAGTCCGGCCAAACAATGGTTACCGCCTCCACCCACCGACTTTGGTGAGGGATTGACATGTGGGCTACTATATCGGTTCCCGAGTGTTTGGTCCCACTTTGAGTCGGTTTGAGCTGATTTGCGAGCCTCTCAATCCGTGTGCTCACACGTGATTCGCCGGAGGTGTGTTTCCTTGCATGTTGTCTCATTTCCTTCATTTTATTATATACCTCTTACATTCACATTAGTTTCCCAATCCTAATGCAACTACATTAATTATTTTTGAAGTCTTGGATATAACGAATTAACGATATACTTCTGTTTGAACAGTTTATGATCAATTTTAGAATCTGTAAAAACCCCTTGTTCGAGTGTAGTTCATTTGTTTAGTTGTTTGCCGGTACAATATACGATCTATGGTTAAAACATGTCGGAATGATTAAAGGCGTTGCCATATAGTCAATTGTTTCCTCCATATGGTCTATGGATAAAATTCTAGCCAAAACCGAAAACACAGTTTCAAGGAAAGGATTAGAGGAAGCAAGGGATACATTCAGCCCATATGGTTTGAGTGACATGGTAGGTATCTACTCAATCCCTCACTCGACAGATTCCCCCTTTGGATTAAATATAGGAAACGAATAAGCCCTAACTGAAAATTGTTACCCCTGACCTAACCAGGGATTGACCTGGCTTGGACAAACAGCTTCAGGGTTCACATTTTTCTCACTTTCGATCAGCTTTTCTGTGGTAATGTATTCACACTTGGCTCCTCATTGACCACTTATATTTATAGACTCATTTGTCATTATTCTGTCCCTCTCATGTTTCTTCTATAGCTTCACTCATTGCTCATCTTTCATAAAACCTGCACATGAACTGTGTCACCCACTATTATGTCTCATCGCTCATGTGGGCTGGCCCAACAAGTGATGTCTTCAGCCGGCCGGTAGGGATCGGAAGTGCTAATGGGTGATCGATCGCCCGCGACATGGGTAGCGATCGATCGCCCTTCTCCCTCCCTCCCTCCCTCCACTGGTTTTCTTTTTTGGCATCGCATTAATTTTCTATTTTAGTAAATTTATGCACCTAAAGTTTATACACCTAAAGTTTACACATCTAAAGTTTATACACCTCAAGTTTACACATAAAGTTTAGAGACCAAAAGTTTATAAGTCAAAAGTTTATATATCGGATTCAAATTCGAATTTGAATTCAAATATTTTTTTATATATAGTATTTCTATACATCTAAAATTTATAGACTTGAAGTTTATAGACCCAAAGTTTATAAGTCAAAAGTTTACATGCCCGATTCAAATTTGAATTTGAATTATATCGGGATTCAAATTTGAATTTGAATTCAAATATTTTCTATATATAGTATTTTTATGCATCTAAAGTTTATAGACCCAAAGTTTATAAGTCAAAAGTTTACATACCCGATTCAAATTTGAATTTAAATTATATCCGTTCAAATTTGAATTTAAATTCAAATATTATATATATATATAGTATTTCTATACATCTAAAGTTTATACACCTAAAGTTTATAGACCCTGACGGAGCGTGGGGCTCCTCACCGGGAGACCGCGCAGGCCCCCCTTTGCCGGTTCGGCCGGGGGCTCGGGGTGAAATCCCCAGCTCTCGCTGTATGTGGAAAGATCGCGACCTCTCGAAAGAGCAAGAGACACAGGCGATGTATACAGGTTCGGGCCGCTGGGAAGCGTAATACCCTACTCCTGTGTTTTTTGTGGATCTGTGTATGAACAAACTACAAAGTATGAACCAGCCCCCCGAAGTCAGTTGTCCCCCTTCCAAAAAAAAGTCCCCGTCTAAGTGGGCACGGTCCTCCTTTTATATCTCAAGGGGATACCACATGCACCTCTCTCTTTCCAAACTGGACTTTTCCTCTCTTCATAAATGGACAGAGATTGGTATGGTTGCTGTCCGTTGCTGACGCGACCAGTGTCAGACCGGTCACAGATCGGTCATTCTTGTCCTCCACGTGTCAGTTTAGCAATCTGCATGTTCGCCCTTCTTCATGTAACATCCTGCCTGTAATGGTTGGGATGAAGCCTGGTATATATCTGACCGGGGCTAACGTGCCATCTCTAAGAGACAACACGCTAGCACCGGCTAGAGATGAGTGCCTAGAGGCTCTCGTCTTGACGGGATGGGGCGAGGCGTGCGTCAGACCGCCAGTCGCCACCTAACCCGTGATCTGACCGGTCTGTGACTGGTCACAGACCGGATAAAGGAACGCGCTGCACTGCGCTGCATGCAGCGTGACACGCTTGACCAGACCGCAATAAATGCGGTTAGGTGAGCCCTGCCATGTTCACCTAACCCATACATGTGACGCAAAAACCCACAAGGGGTCGAGGCGCCTCGGCCCTCGGGGCCGGGACAGGAGTCACCCGACCCCCCTCGGGGGAATCAGGAGGAGGGCGGACACCTCACCCTCGGGCCCGACGTCCCCGAGGGTGCCAGGCCACGTGGGCGATTGTGTCTGCCTCAAGCCTCTGGTCACGATACTCCCGGTCCCATATCACCGACAGACCCAAAGTTTATAAGTCAAAAGTTTACATACCCGATTCAAATTTGAATTTAAATTCAAATATTAGTTTATAGGTCAAAAGTTTACATACCCGTTTCAAATTTGAATTTGAATTTAAATTTAAATTCAAATATTAGTTTATAGACCCAAAGTTTATAAGTAAAAAGTTTACATACCCATTTTAAATTTGAATTTTAATTCAAATTTGTATGGTGTAGTAGTAAGAGAAGAAGGGGAGGTAAAGTAGTAAAGGGGAGGCGGGTGATCGCTTGGGAGGGGGAGGGAGCGATCACCCGCCCATTAGGAGTGCCCGGGAGGGATGGCGGATGCTAGTGGAAGGGGCAAAATGATTTTTTTTCCTCCACTTTTGCTACTTCTAATTTATTTTTCTTTCAAATTTTGTACTCATATAGAAAACAAATTAGTAAAAGCAGATTTTTACGTGGAAAGTGGGACTGCCTACTTACGTCTCTACTTGCCGGTCATGCTGCTGAGTGCCAACCACCGATTTTTCTTGGCAGATAAATTAACACGTAAAATCGACAATTATAGTTAACAAATATCTGACTATGAGTCTACTCTGACGACCCGTGATAAAACGAGTGTAGTTATAATAACGAACAAAAATGACAACACGTCATTGTACCAATATGTAACAATATATATGCGTGACCGTGACCAGGACGGCACAACGAAATTCTATTTGTCAATCGTCCCATTAGTCAATCGCTATACGACACGTACAGGCTGGTGTAATTCCATTTGCCACAAATTCTTTTTCCCCCAAGACGCGGGAAATTCTTCCCATGATAATAACAGCAGCAAAGCCGCAAAGCAAGCCAACGCCACGGCAGCTCGGCTCCGATCGGCTATGGCCATGGCCGGCAATCACCGAAGCTCACAGCTACACCTCCTTCTCCTCTTCTGCTGCACCACCACCCTACGCGCCGCGGCGCTCTCCTTTGACTACGATTTCTCCGCGGACGCCGCGAAGAACTTGGTGTTCATGGGAGACGCGGCCCACGCCGGCGACCGGATCAACCTCACGAACCTGGGCGTCTGGAGAGCCGGGCGCGTGGCGCACCGGCAGCTCGTGCGGCTCTGGGACGACGACGTCGGCGGCGGGAGGACGACCACCACCAGCTTCACCACCGCCTTCTCCTTCGCCATCGGCCGCAACTCCACGAACCAGCCGGCGGACGGCATGGCCTTCTTCGTCGGGCTTCCCCGCGACAACCTGCCGCCGCACTCGGACGGCGCGTTCTTCGGGCTTCTGTCCAACAACTACTTCGGCCCCTACGGCTCGCCGCGGACCGTCGGCGTCGAGTTCGACACCTTCAGCAACCCGATGTGGGACCCCGAGGGCACCGTCGATCACGTCGGCATCGACGTCAACACCGTCACGTCCAAGAACACCACCGCGATGCCGACGTTGAGCCTCCTCGCCGGCGTCATGCGGGCCGAGGTCAGGTACTGTTAGGAAACGACCCAATCCACTTCAGCCTACGCTTCGCTCCGGCCCAAGCCTCCGGCGACGGGTCTCCGCTTCGCTTCGTCCGAAGTTAATCTTTACACGTGTGCAAATAAATTTGGATCACAACTCAACAGTTACGACGCCGCCGCAGCGAGGATGGCGGTCACCCTCCGCACGCTCGACGGGATGAGCTACAGCGTCGAGGCGGCGGTGGACCTGAGAGCCGCCGGCTTGCCGCAGGACGCGGCCGTGGGGTTCTCGGCGGCCACCGGAGACCTTGTCGAGTCGCACCAGCTCCTCTCTTGGTCGTTCAACTCAAGCACAGGTATATACTGCCGCAAGTACTTTTCTATCAAATCTAGCAAATTACGAGGCTTTAATTAATATCATTGAAAATAAGAGTAAAAGTGTGACTTTTCAGCAGTTAAGGAATAAGAATAGTAATGTTGCTGAAAAGTCACATGCCAAAACATGTCTTTCATTTAAGCAACTACTTTTACATGTGTGAGCTTAAAATTTTGTTCTATCGAACTAGCACTACCAGAAACAGCCCCGACAGTCCAAAACCGTCAGGAAAAAACAAATCCATATGCCAAGAATTTTTTCTGTAGCCTTGACGGCTGAATACAAACATATTATAAATGTTAGCCGTCAGGTATAGCTGAGTTTCTGGTAAGGTAGGATATATATTACTAGGTACGATCTTTCCTTCCAACTAGGGAAGGACCTTCGGTGGCACTACTATAGAAAATTGTCATCTGTAATGGATCAATACGGTCCGTCGGTGATAACTAATTTTAATAGGTCATAATGGGATAACAAAATTTATGTATATAACCTGTCTACCTAGATTTAAATCATGTTGTGAACAATAATTAAGCAATTATGTGCATTTATAGTTAAAAACTTATCATCTGCATCTGAGTTTTGGCTTGCATACCCTTGAGTTTTGCTTCATCTCTTATATGCCTTTCAGAGGTCTTTTTTTTTTACAAGACCTTTCAGTTTTTTTTAATGTCTCACATGCCCATTATGTTAGCTCTTCCAGGAATGGGTCTTAATTTTTATTGAAATAACTATATTACCCTTTACTTATTACACTAACTAATAGATCCTCCTCCTTTTATAAATCAAAAGTGTAATAGATCCTCCTCCTTTTATAAATCAAAACCACAAAAAGGGAAACTGTTTCAGCTATATGGATTTTTTTATTTGTGAGGCAAAATTATCCAAATTGACAAACTGAAAATCGCAAAATATAAACATTCATATTATTTCAGCCGATGTTGTTGAAAAGCAATTATTTTTTAAAAGTTTCAATACCAAATCTTTTGGTTTGCATAATCTGTTGTTTGTACTCACTTTGGATTAATTCAAATTTGATTTATCCAAATTGACAAACTGAAAATCGCAAAATATAAACATTCATATTATTTCAGCCGATGTTGTTGAAAAGCAATTATTTTTTAAAAGTTTCAATACCAAATCTTTTGGTTTGCATAATCTGTTGTTTGTACTCAATTTGGATTAATTCAAATTTGATTTAAATTTTCTCAATAGTACAAATTTATTTTCTATTTTCATTGTTAAAATATTTTAGTTTTTCATAATTTCAATTTTTTTCAAACATACATTTTGGTTTGGAGTAGGTAGTTTTGCACTCAGTGTTATGAACCAGCGGCAATATGGTCTTTAGAGAACATATCATGGTGGGACATTGGACAACTATGGAATGGGCATATAGGGCCGAAAAAGGAAGAAGTGAAACTGTAGACCCCCGTTTTTATAATAGGAATCACTCGTGTTAATAGTACCATTTCCCTGGATCAAGTAGTCTAGTACTCACGATTACATTGCTGAAATATCAAGTGTGCATACAAAGATTGTCTAGCGCGAATTATTACATCATAGGCCCGTAGGCAGTCTTAGAACATAGGACCAAACGGTCCGGAATACATCCCAAAAGCAGAGATAGATAAGCAACGGAATCAAGGCAGCGGCGACACCATTGCCACCGGCAACGACCGTAACTAAGACCTACGGAGCGCCGTCGTCCTCCGCATCCTCCTGAAGTTAAGCATAGGGATCCTCCTCGACTTCATTGCCATCCACTGATTAAATTTTGTAATAGCAAGAGTGAGTACCAACCGTACTCAGCAAGCCACCACAACAACGATGCATATGATAGAGGATATACAATGAACGGTTAATGGTTTATTTGCATAAAGCCAATTTTGCAATTCTTTTCACAAGTCTAAGACCTAGCCTAAACTGATCAAATTTTATCTCCATAGTTCATTAAACAGCGACGGTTCTGTCCACCATCCATTGTGATCCCAAGGATAGCTTCCCGCCACTGGTCATCATGGTTTTCTGGGGTCTACCCCTTCTCGCTTCTCGAGAAGTTGATCCACCAGTCGAAAAATCATCATGCATATCCCACCCATCATTTTAAGAGTTTAGAGTCTAGCCAAGTGTAATACATGTCCCGGTGCTCAATATCCGCGAGCACGGCTATTCGAATAGATTTGGTTTACTCACACTGCAGTGGATGTACACTTTACCCATACTCTGCGACTTGCCCAACACATGAGCTTACGTCCCAACGAATGAGACTTGCCACGGCAAAGCCTTTCAATAACCTCACTTTGGCAGTACCCGCTCCATGAACTTGAGACCTCATGCACTCTAGGCGTACACGGTTTCTAGCAGTGAGAGGAGTTTTGGCGCTCCTGGGAAGGGAAGACTCACACATGCATTAAGTTATAGTTAAGTTTAGGTTTACACATGGCAGTCCTACCGATGGCGACACCACTGTAGGCACCCGCCCCTCGCGGTCCTACCAATGGCTGCCCCACCGTAGGCCCTGCCTCACACCCATCAAGAAAACCACTATGTAGGGATACTGCCTCCGCTCGGCTATTTACTCCGCTAGGTCTATACCCATACGAGAAGTACGGTTGTACGGGGGTCGTTTCATGCTTAGCTTCATGGCTCGGTCCTTAACTGACCAGGGACAGCACTAGCCTTTTCCAGACACCACCCAAGTACCCCAGCCGTCCCAGTCGAAAACAGTGTTTAATTTTATTTCTCCTTTCACAATTCATGTCATCCTTGTCATGGCAATGTGGCGCTCATGTCTCCACATGCCGCATCTCAACTACCTTCCCTAAGGTAGTTGCCCAAGCATTTAGCACTTGATAAATATGAGAATGCATGATTCTAATTAGCATGACTAAGCATTTGTTCAATATTGACTAAGTACACACGATAGCAGGGTTTACAATGGTCATACAGATAATCAATATCAAGGCATGGCATATATAACAAGTAGTACATTCATATTCATATATATAGCATGCAATTTTATTTAAATCAACATAATTTTCGTAATAGGTTCAACATGCTCAAAGATTAGTGATGACTTGCCTTGATCGCAGTCTTGCTGTCCCTGCTCCTCAATCGACTCAACAATTCCCTCGGAATCTAATTTACGTGCGAAAGATCGGATTTGAATTTAATTAGCATTCAAATAAATTCACCAAAATTCAAACAGTGCAAATAAATTTGAGAAAATGATACTATCAGATAGATCTTGATTTTAGATGAATTTAGGTTTAAGTTTCATTCAATTCCGAGTTAAAATGAGTGAGTTATGCTAGTTTAAAGATTCAAATTTGAGTTAATTCGAGAAATTGTGAAAAGTTACTGTTCCTAATTCATTTGTTTTTATTCCGATCTGCAATCCATAAACCACAGAGGCTGGCACGTGGGCCATCTTCCTATTTCTTTTCTCGGTTTTATTTTCTAATGGAATTCACGCTGTGTCATTGACAGGTGGGGCCGGCACTTTTAATTAAGGGTAATCCGCTCCTTTTAATCACCGGTGGGTCCCGCTTGTCGTTGACAGCAAACATAATATTGACTTTAATTAGATTTTCTAATCAACCGGACCCACGCGTCATAGACTCGGCTAAACATCATTAGGGAGAGGATTAACGTGCGCTAACTACTATGTGGGTCCCACATGGTTTCTCTTTCGCTCGTTCTTTTTCTTTTCCTGTCGTCTTCTTCCTTCCGCTCGCGGCTGAGCCGAGAAGCGGCGCGCGACGGTGCAACGGCCCGAGCCGGAACGGCTCGGCGCACGGTGGGGCAAGTGGCTGCACACCACCGGAGACCCTCCGGCGGCGGCGGCGAGGCGCGGCGACCCCCCCGACGCGCGGCGCGACTGCGCGTGGTGGTGCCGAGATCACGGGAACGCCGGCGGCGCAATGGAGATCGATTCGAGTGCAACCGGCTACGATTTAACCATCAAGGGTTCATAGGGAGTGCAGAAAAGCAAAAACCTAGCCTATGCTGCATTGGAACGAGGTCTCTCCACGGCGAGCTCAACCATGGCGCGGTGGCGGCCGGAGTCGGCATGGCTACGGCGGCGCGCACCCCAAATCGAGGGGGCCGCTGGCTTCTAAGGTGTCCAGGAGCTACTACAGGCGTGAGGGCTTACCACGGAGTGACGGAACGGCGAAGTTCGACGGCGCGTGGCACGGTGCGGTCGAAACAGGGGCAGACGGCGGTCGGTGACGGTCGCAGGTGTTCGACGCTTGTCGTCCCTCGCGTAGCGGCTCCCGGCTCCCTCCAACAGCAGCAACAGCAACGCGGACACCTCCTCAACACACCCCGCCACCCATACCGGCCGAGAGGCCCTGCGGCGGCGGCGCAACCCCCGCCCACCAGGTGTTCGACACCCGGCGGCGGCGCGATTTTGTTTCTCTGAGATGGAGCAAGAACTCTGGGAAAAGGGGAAGCGAATGAGGGGTTGATTTTGGATGAGGACGGGGTAGGAGTGAGCTTATAACAGCGAGAGGAAGGGCGATTTCTTAATGGATAAGGATAATCGATGACTCGGCTTTGGTTCGATCTCACCCAGGTTCTGGTTCAATGTACAGGCGCGGCATGATTGCCTACGCGTAGTATACAGGAGAGGTCTCGCTAGCTGGGAAAAAGGGCACCGCATTACCCATTGGTCTCAACCGGGGGCGACAAGATGGAGACGCGACGGGGATGCGATGGCGACAAGAGCGACGGCGATGGGCAGTGGTAACGGCCGCGATAGGGGGCGTAGGGCTATGCCCTAGGGTGACGCGGGGTCGTCGTGGCCGCCGTTATCACTCCATCCCGAGGGCGACGCTCGAGGGGACGGGATGACGCGGGCACCCGTGGCGGCGCAGCTTTGGCGCGGGCTTTTGGCGGCTCGGTCGGCCGCGGGCCCACGCGGCGTGGCGCGACGCGGTGCGGCGCACGGGCACGCCTAATGCGGCGCACGGGTCTGGAAGGCAGGCGCGCGGCAAGGCACCGGTTGGAGAGGGCGGCGTCGGGCGTTCGGTCGGTTAGGCACAGATCGAACACCTGGCGCGCAATGAACAGTAGCAACCCGAGAAAAATCATAATTAGGGCCTTCCTTTGGCTATTTGCGTGGGTTGTTTTCAGATGATTCAATCCCCACATTTCTCTAGGGAATTTACCTATATTTCAACACTTCTAATCCTGTGATTTACTGCACCCCATATTAATAATTAATTATATATTTCCAACATATGTTTCTTATTTTCCCTATATTCTAGGTTTTAGTATTTGTCCTTCCATATCAACATAGTTTGTTTTCTCATCTTATTTAATTTAAACAATATATTTTGCAACAAAGAGACGAATAACACCAGCATGATGCAAAAGTTTTAAAAAGTTCGAAATTTTAGTGATTTTTATTAGTAGGGATTTTTAGGATGTTAAACTTAGGGGTATGAAGCAGATGTAGGGAAAAAATTCAAGGGCATGCATGCACAAAGTTTTCTCTCCGTGAAAATTCGTTTTTTGAATATAAAATCTTAATATTTATGCGTTCATTATTGACTTAAGACCATGTTGTTTAACTCCACATATTCTAATTGTCATTTGTTTGAGTTGAGGGAATAACTTCGATCCCAATAAAGTTAGGCAGTTTTGTCTTGATACATCAATATGATACTGTTATGGAATTTTTGCTTTTTAAATTAGTTATACTAATTAAAAGTTGAACACAATAAAATAAGAAATTGAAAGTTTCGTTGAAATTGTTCATTTGGAAATTTGAAATAATCAATACTAACCAAAATACTGACCTAATGTACTTGTGTCACTTTGTAGTACATGCAGATCAATATTTTGTATGTAGTATCACTAACCCTGTTATATAAGGTAAATTAAAATATATGTCACGTAAATCCTGTATCACGGGAACAACCCATATGCAAGCATATATATGGATGCCAACAAACAGAACGTATGAATGTCATTAATTAAGGGTGTGTGGTGAAATTAACTAACATATGTTATGTGTTTGTAGCAAGTCATACAACAGGATTAGTGAACGGGAAGGACGGGTATCATTTATACAATAGATATTAGATTAGTAAATAGTCAATACTAAACCAGAATGAAAGAAACATTACAAATTGCTTGTAATTTTTCAGCAGATGGATCAGTCTCTTCAACAGGTTCTCCACTTGTTTCAGAATCAAAAAAGAAGAGGATAAAAACATGTAAGGATCATTCATCCCAACCCTTTAATTTGTTCTTTGCTTCTTTAATCGTTGTTGATGTTAAATTCTAATTTACCACGGTTTGTAGTTAAGAACAATTTTGAACTGTAGAGCAAGAAACTTCTTTACATATGAATAATTATTAACCCAGTTATATATAAGGTAAATTCAAAATCTCACCTAAATTCTGAATCATGGGAAAAACAAATCATATGCAAGCATACGCAGATGCCAACAAAGCAACATGCATGAATGTCAATAAATTAAGTACCAGCCTAGCCATTTGTTTTGGTTGTTTTAACATTTGAACTGGTTATCATGTAGTGAGGTCTTGTTTAGATTGGACTTTATTTTATCAACCTAAACTTTGATCATGTAGGTCTTGTGGTAACCTACAATTCAATCTACAATATAAAAATATGATCTTTCTATGCTTAAGGTTCCTCATGACATAACTGTGGAGATATTTATACCTCTTTGAAAAAAATATTTTTTGTGTTTTGTTATGGACCTTATTTACAATATGTTTTTAGCTTGTGTTCATTAATTACAAGGTACTAATACCTATTAATATCTCCCAAGATTTTATGAAAATATGTGTAGTTTTTTCATGCCTTGTGGCTCTAATTCCTTTTCAGACATAATAGCTTCTACATCAAGTTTATTGGGGATAAGCGTATTAGTCCTTGCAGTCTTCCTAGTTTACAAGAAACATAAGTGCTTGCTCCCCTGGCAAAGATCAACAACCGCACCAAGACTTCATTCACTCCTACGATCACAACTTAAAAGTTACACTTATTCTGAAGTTCGAAAGATGACTAAATCTTTTACTCACACCCTTGGTAAGGGTGGATATGGCACTGTTTACAAAGGCAGTCTATCTGATGGTAGCACAATAGCAGTTAAGATACTGGAAGACTCCAACAATGATGGGGAAGATTTCATTAATGAGGTGTCCAGCATTGGCAGAATATCACATATCAATGTTGTTACTCTATTAGGACTTTGCCAGCATGGATCAAAAAGAGCTCTCATCTATGAGTATATGCCCAATGGTTCTCTTGATAAATTCGCAGTTGGTGGAAATGACACCATGCAACAAGAGAAGTTCCTTATAAGCTGGGAGAAGCTATATGATATTTTGGTTGGAGTTGCACAAGGCCTTGATTACCTCCACCATTGGTGTAATCATCGTGTTGTACATCTTGACATAAAACCCCAAAACATCTTACTGGACCAAGACTTCTGCCCAAAAATATCGGATTTCGGATTAGCGAAACTATGTAAGCCAAAAGAGAGCAAAATCTCTATTGGTTGTGCAAGGGGAACAATTGGCTACATGGCACCTGAGGTGTTTTGGGGGCACCGTGGAGCAGTGACCACCAAGTCTGATGTATATAGCTATGGGATGCTGATTCTTCATATGGTTGGAGAAAGGGAAAACATCAATGCGAGCACAGAGAGTGGAAGCAAGTATTTCCCTGAATGGTTGTATGACAACCTGAATCAGTTTTGTGGTGTTCCTAGTGGAGGCATCGACGGTAGCAATTCCACATCAGAGGTTGCACACAAGTTAGTGATAATAGGGTTTTGGTGCATACAATCTGCACCTACGGACAGACCTTCGATGAGTGAGGTCATTGACATGTTTGATAGAAGCTTGACTGAACTGCAACTACCACCAAGAATCTCTTGTTGCGGAAATTATAATGAGAGTTTTGGATAATCGCTCCAATTGTAACATGTTCATCTTTATCTATTTGTCTTTAGACCACTTGATAAGATGAGGCTTCAACTTGACCAACCACATGAAAATTCAGACCTCCAACATGTATAGTCACAATAGCCTCATCATGATATTTATTTACTCCTATATGAATTATATATGTACCAATAATTTATTTTCCTACGATAAGCATCAACACTTGAGTACTTTGACAGCCAGGGAATTTTTTAAGTAAGTGTGTGTTTGAATCACTAGAGAAAACTCCTGTATCAGCTTGAAGGTAGATCATTATTTTAAGGAGATGGTCTCCTTTTATGTAACTGTGGATGAGTTGTTAACGACTACTCTTAATATAATTTCCTTTCTTTAATTGGAGGCAATACTGTTTGGTGGCATTTGGTATGTCTATGACAATGATGTGATGATCTTGTTCCGGTGTGAATATTATCTAAGTGAAAGTGAAACCTATTACTATATTAGTATAATTAATAAAAAGAAATATAAAAGTGTCTCAGTTATTGTAAAGACAAACAAAGAGACGCATAGAGCTAGCGTTGTAAATATATACATGCTCAGAGCTCCTCTGTAAAAACGTCTCTATGGATGTTGAGACGACGTTTCAGCGTCTTATTTTCTGTAGAGATGCTTTAGTAAAGCGTCTCAATAAAATGAAAATGACTCTACGCCTCATTAGAGACGTTCTAAGATGTCTCTAACAAGAAAATGAAGCGTCTCCACATGGTTATTCTGTTGTAGTATGTGTTCCCTTAGTTCTATTTCTGTTGGTTGAATACATGTGTTTAGAGACATCCAAGTAGCAAATGTGCTACTTTGGCAGTTTTTCTTAGAACTGGCGATTGATATGCTGATTGTTCATTAATGGCAAATATTACTCCCTCCGTTTCACAATGTAATTCATTCTAGCATTTCCCATATTCATATTGATGTTAATGAATCTACATAGATATATATGTCTAGATTCATTAACATCAATATGAATGTGGGAAATGCTAGAATAATAAGCAATATTCCTGTTGTCCTTTCCTCGTCGAGTTTGCTATTCAGTTTCTATGTAAAGTCACTTAAGAGCACATTTGAAAATACTCTCTCCATTTCATATTATAAGTTGTTTTCATTTTTTTTCAAACTTAGGTTTGATAAAGTTTATTGAAAAATATAACAACATTTGTAACACTAAATTAGTTTTATTACGTCTAACATAGAACATATTTAAATAGTTTATTTGTTTTGTATTAAAAATATTGCTATATTTTTTTTGTAAATTTAGTCAAACCTAAGTAAGTTTAACTTAGAAAATATTGAAACTACTTAGATAGTATATTTTATTTTGTCGTACAATATATAAATTGGTATATGTAAATGGGATCCCAATAAAACACACATATGAAAGTTTTTTTTACATGGGAAAAAGAAGGAAAATAATCCAAAATAAAAAATCGTGTTAATTAGTTAACACTTCAGAAGTACATGCAGATAGATATATTAAGCTTACTGGCTTGTTTACGACGTTCGAATTTTAGATGATCGACCGATTGGTAAGAAAGTTTCAGGAAGTCTGATAATTAGCGCAGTGCCACCAATATAAGTCGTGGTACACACCTACCACACCAGCTAAATGGGATTTGCACGAGTAGATATCATCAAGGTTTTTTTTAGTAGTGTTATATATCCATGTTACTTAATTAGGTGATCTACCATATAGATCATCAAGGTTTGCATTGCATGCAGCACATCTTGCATGATATCATTATAGCACGTAGCATCAGGATATAAACTGATCTGCAGAAAAAGCCACCGAACTTCGTCTGTCCCAACTAATTTTCTGGAGGCTTATATTGTCGATCACCAACGTAACCCCTTAAACTGGCCACAGGCTAGAACATACTCCCTCCGTTTCATAATATAAGGAATTTTGAGTTTTTGATTGTACTGTTTGACTATTTGTCTTATTAAAAAAAATTAGAATTATTATTTATTTTCTTTGTGACTTGCTTTATTATCTAAAGTATTTTAAGCACAACTTTTATTTTTTATATTTGCAAAAAAAATTTGAATAAGATGAGTGGTCAAACATTACAAGCAAAAACTCAAAATCTCTTATATTATGGGACGGTAGGAGTATATCAAACCTGCCAACTCTACTTGTACGGATGGTGTTGCCTAGCTAGTAATTAATTAATCCATAATTATTGGGCATTTCCAAGCAACTCTCCTCTTCCTCACCAAACCCTGATCCCTTTTAGAACCCTACTTAAAGCAGCTCACACCTTCAGTATCAGTACACACCAAGGCAACACACACTAATACACAATCAAATTAATTCCGAGTTCTAATTAACGTACGTAAAAGAAGGAGAAGAGATGGCTGCTTCTCGCCGCGTCGCGATCTCCCTCCTCCTCCTGGTCGCGGCCATGGCGAGCTCCTTCTCCTTCTCCCCGTGCACCGCGCAGTCGTCGTCGTCGTGCGCGAGCTACACCTTCTCCAGCAACCAGCAGTACGGCTCGTGCGCCACCCTGCCGCGCCTGGGCGCCACGCTGCACTACAACTACACGGCGGCGGCCAGCACCGTCGCCGTCGCGTTCCGCGCGCCGCAGCCGGCGGGCGGCAAGGGGTGGGTGGCGTGGGGGATCAACCCGAGCGGCAGCGGGATGGTGGGCACCCAGGCCGTGGTGGCGTTCCGCCACTCCAACGGCAGCCTCGTCGCGTACCCGACGGTGCTCGGCAGCTACGCGCCGTCCATGGCGCCCGCGGCGGCCAAGGACCTGGCCCTCCCCGTCTCCGGCGTGTCGGCGGAGGAGAACGGCAAGGCGAAGGAGGTGGTGGTGTACGCGACGGTGGCGCTGCCGGCCGGGAAGGGGACCAAGTTCAACCACGTGTGGCAGCAGGGCAGCTCGGTGGCCGGCGACGTGCCGGCGGCGCACCCCACCTCCGGGGACAACGTCCTCTCCGTCGGCAGCATCGACTTCAGCAAGTGATCGATCGTACATATATACTGGTATATACGTACACTTGTTCGATCGTATACGTACGTACGCCCGGCTGCTTGTAATGTTGGTATACAAGTATATTCATGTACACATGTGTTAATTATTTATGCTTCTGGTAGATCGGCTCCCATTAGATGTGTGGAGTATATGTATGATGATTATGTCAGTGAGACTCCATGTATGTATTGTCTATATATATGTACAGCCGGAAAGTTTGCAATGTACTATTTCTTCCCTTGTTTGTGTTTAAACCTACATGTATATATTTATATCTATCAAAAAACTATCTAAAACTATTCTGTAATAAATATGTGCCACTTATTCACTAGGAAAAAAACAGTGTTCACAATACGAAACAAAAGATTTCACTGTTTTGGATATTTATAATAAATATCAAAGAAGCAAACGAATTCAGTAAGGCAAGATGTGCCACAAAAGACCGAGCAGAGTAACAATCCAATCCCACAGTTCGATCGGCTCGATCGATCCAGTCCCAAATATTGTGCCACCGCAGCTACCTCCTCAGGAAATATTGCTGTAAAGCAAAGGCTAAACCAGTAGATTGTACAGAACGAAAAGAACGGGATAATCTTCACCTTTGCATTGCTGCTTTTTTTTCAGTCCGTTAAACTGAGATACCACTTCGTACGTACGAGACATACCACTTCGTACGTACGAGACACAATTGTTCATAAATGATGCCGCGTTTACCCTTGCAAATGGGTTAAAAGAGGCATCTTGAGAGCTCTCCTTGTATCAAAATAGAAATTAAATCAGAACAACTTAAATGATTAGCAAATCCCACTATATATATTTTTTTGAAATGCACGGCGGCCTGGAATTTATAGAAGGGAAGAAATAGCAGCACAATACATAAACGTTAACATACAAGCCCTGGCTAGTCTAGTTCACAAACCTTCGCGACGAGAAAATCTCGCGAACAGTTCCAATGCTCTCATTCTGTCTTAATCCCGGCGTCTAATGACGCTAGAAAAAAAATCACGCATTTAATTATTTTCACCTATTTTATTGTTTTGGTTATAACTTTTATCCTTTTTTCTGATTTCAGTTTGAATGGAATGAAAACTCTATTTTTTTAAAAAATATCCATTAAACTTTCTATTTACAAATATAATTTCTATATAAAGTTTACTATATAAAGTATCTATAGATAAAGTCTATCCATATATATAAACTTTAAATACATAAAATCTATATATATAAACTTTTTATATAAAAAGGTCTATAGGTGGAAAGTTTTTGCGGAAATAGTTCATATAGAAAATTTCCCGTTAGAAAAAAACTATAATGGAAAAAGAAACGTGAAAAAATCGGAATGGAAAAGAAAAACAGAAAAAAAAACCCTAATATCTTGGTTACGTGCAAGAGTTACAATGGAAAAAACGTAAAAGAGGAAACCGATAGGATAAGTACTTATCTATGCTAATATAAAAAGTATGAGTTCATCTCCAATCCTGAAATCTTTCAGATCCACTATCGTGTGGGACCCACCTGTCATCCCTAATAAAAAAACCGCACCGCGCGCACCAAAAAAAGAAAAAAAAAGAAACGCTGCGAAAGAAATTAACGCGCACTCCCGCCGGACCTAACCCACGCCGCGCCGCCCGCCGGACCGCCTCACCGCCGCCGCAATACATATTCAGAGACTACCTCGCCGCCGATTATTGCCCTAGCCGCGACCACACCAAAACAAACTGCCATCCACTCCGCCGTCGCCGTCGCCGACTCCGCCGCCGCCACCATCACCGCCTCTGCCGACTTCGCCACCGCCACCGCTACCGCCACTGCCGACTTCGCTGCCGCCAGTGCCGCCGTCGCCGACTCCGCTGACGCCGTCACTGCCGCGACCATCGCCACACGATATAAGCAATAATGTGGAGATCGATCCAACGGTGAGTTAAACATTCGTCACATCGATCCTTGACTAGCTAGCTATGATCTGTCGCTCTCTGCTTAATTAATTTGAATTGTACAGTCTTGGTCCAGAGTAAACTAACTTTTCAGTTAAATATATCAACTTGTTGATTTTCGTTTGATCAATAATTCATAAATTTAGGATGCAGTTGTTTGTTTAACATGATGGTCTGAATTTTGTAGGGTGAAGAGCACAAACTGTTCTGGCCATACCAGACTGGATTTGTGAGGATGGAAGGACAGTTCAACGCCACAATGGTACCTTTTGGAGTCGTCAGAGAGGACGATCTGATGGAAGTAGCCATACACTTCATTGCTCTGTAGCTAAACATTCAAACATGCATTGGCATGATCACGATGCACAATTTGTTTCTGCAGATGCTCTGCACTTAAGAGGACATCAGAAAACCACCCTTCGGCACGGAGCTGATTAAGTACAATGAGGCTAACAAGTTGACCTTTGCTTTGGTCCCTTTTCATGCCTTTCTATACCCACCATGGCTAGATTTGTTGGTTTTGGGTGCACCAGCTTGGGAAATCTGAAATTGTCCTCTCAGAATGCCACATTGTCTAACTACTTATTGAAAAGTGCGTTCATTTTATTAAATAACTTTCTTTGTGGTACCTTTTTTAACCTGTTACTTATGAAATTTATCGCTCGTGCCACCATTTGTTGCATAATTGGTTGGCTTCATCCTTGCAGTTTCTGTCACTCGGAACTCGGTCAGTTCTTGTTTCTGAGAACAACATAGATTGTTTGCATGATTTAATGTTCACCAGCTAAGCTCACCAGGAAAGTGACACGATACTGTTCTTTTCTCCAGGTAAGCTCACCAGCTAATGATATATGCAGTTATAATTTGATTTGAGTGTAATTATGTATTTCCAGTGGGATGTGGTATTGTGCGTGGACATATTATGATAAACTTGGACACGAGACTGGTAGTATCATAAAATTATCAGTCTAGATCATTATGTAAAAAAACAAGGGTACAAAGTGGAAGCTGTGTGCCTTTGCTGATATAGTCTAAGAAGACAGATTTTATGTCTTTTTCTAGAAGATGTTAATGCATGATGACCTGCCAAAAGATCATCTTACCTTCATATCTACTTCACTGACTGCCATGTTGTCTATGGAGCTATGAGCTCATACTTATAGGAGCAAGATTACTTATGCATTGTGGACAGAGATTTTATTTATTTTACCTGATGGGTTCAATAAGTTTATTTATTGTTCTATGAGCTATATTTACCCAATAAGATTCTTATTTGAAGAAAAAAGTGGATGTTAATTAGAACATAATGTTGTGTGCTTTTTGCAGGATGTTTGTGCTCAATATGACACGCCCAAAAAAACTCTTCTTTTGCACATAATTTGCATTTGATGCACTAATCGCATTGAGTTGTCCCTAGAAGTATGAACTGTAGGGTCAAAATTGATTTAAGCGATGGATGTATTTGTTTCGATTTATTCTATTCAATATATGTCGACGTGCCTTGCACGTGCACGCTAACTAGTGGAAATAACGTACGAGAAAAGAAAAGAAAAAAGCGCATACTGTCTCCGTCTTTAACTAATTCGCGAGATACGTTAGCGGCGAACGTTTGCTAACTAGACTTTCCTTACAAGCGCCCCCCCCCCTCCCCCCAAAACATTTTCGGACGGCAATCATTTTGCCAGTTAACTAAGGGGCTGTTTTGATGGGACTAAAAAGTTTTAGTCCCTATCACATTGGATGTTTGACACTAATTAAAAGTATTAAACGTAGACTATTGACAAAACTCATTCCATAACCCTGGACTAATTCGCGAAACGAATCTATTGAGCCTAATTAATCCATAATTAGCCTATGTGGTGCTACAGTAAACATGTGCTGATTATGGATTAATTAGGCTTAAAAAATTGTCTCGCGAATTAGCTCTCATTTATGTAATTAGTTTTGTAAGTAGCCTATGTTTAATACTCCAAATTAATATCCAAACATCCGGATCCAAACACCACCTAAGCTGGTCCTAGAGTGACATTTTCTAGCTCTTCTCCGGGTTCTCCCTTCCAACGGAAGGCTTTTCTAATTTTCTCTATTCTCTTGAGAACCCATATTTCGGAGTTTGGACTGCGGTTAGATGGAAAACCGGCATCGCCGATAGGACTGATTTGACAAGAGTATTTCTTCCAGCCAAAGTGAAGAAGCGCCCTTTCCATCCTAATATTTTTCCTCCAATTTTATCTAACAGAGGCACAAACTCAGTCTTTCGCAGCTTCATAACATCAAGTGGCCATGTAACTGCAGAGGAAGGAGCCTAATTTTGCTGGATAGGCTTGTATGAGACAATTAGGTAAATCTCAGTCTTGTGGATGTTTGTCTGCAGACCTAATACCCCTGTAAATACCTAGACAGGAACTTAGCCCTTAAATAACCCAATCTGAAATTCGCTCCTATGGATATTTGAACTCAGGAACTTGTGGTGCTACTCAGATCACTGCAAACACTAGGCTACATGCCCTTCACAGACCTGATAAAGATGGTCACATCATCCATATATATTGAGTATGTGAACCTTTGGAACCTTGCATTGAAGGGAGTGAGAGATGCTGTTGTTTCTGCTGCCTGGATCATTTAATTTCTGGAGAAGTTCCATGGGTAGGATGAAGACGAAAGGCGCTAGTGGATCCCCTTACCTAAGCCTCCTATCATGATGGATACTATCTCCTGGGGAGCCATTCAGAATAATCGAAGAGGAGGATGAGGCCAAGAGGTTTGCAATCTAGTTTCTCCATCTTGTTCCAAAACTAAATCTTTGTAAGACCTCGAGAAGGTAAGGCCAACTTATGGAATCAAAAGCACTTGAGATGTCTATCTTGATGAAGAGGGTAGTTTTTTTTTTTTTACCTATGAAGGGATTGAATAATACCCTCTACAAACAGGAAATATCATGAATTTCTCTTTTACAGATGATCTATAAAGAGGAAATTATCATGAACTTCTCTTTTACGGATGAAAGCACTTATGTTTCTAGACATCAGCTCATTGATTCAGGGGAAGGGCGATTTGCTAGCTGCTTTGTGATTATCTTCGTGAAACTATGAATGAAACTTATTGGCCGGTAATGTTCTGCAGATCCCATAGCTTCAAACCTTCTTTGCAATGAGGTAAATGTGAGCCGTATGTGTTGAGCTACATGCAAAAGTAAAAAAAAAAATCTCAAAAAAAATGGAAACCCTAGCTCCTGATGGAGGCGGCAGCGCGGATCCAACCGTCGCGGCACCGGCGGCGACAGATCCGGCCGTCGCAGGGCAGACAGAGGCAAATCCAAT